AACAGAGTGTCCTTTTACCCTGATTAATTTTTTAGCTTACTTTCTTTTAATCTAGGCAGCCCAGCTTACCCGTGAGGTATTATCTACCTCAATAGCACTACCAGAATTCAATGAGTCAGTGAACAACAAATTCTAGTGAAGGTGAATGGAGATCAGAACTCTCATAGGTTCTGTGTGAGAATGTAAACTGTTTCCACCTTTATGGAAAGTGGAAATATTATGATCCCACCATCCCACGACTAGGTATCTAACCTAAAGAAACAAAGGCTGCAAAGAGAACTGATACATACCCCTTTATATTAATTACAGTATAATTTACACTAGAGCTTTACTCTTTCTTACAAAAGAAAAGTTTACATACAGAATCATTCTTGGGTGGTTTTCAGACATGGGAAAAGGCAGAGTTCTTGTTTTTAGGTGCTCTCCGGGGAACTGCAACTCATAGTAACCCTATGAAGAAGAGATAGAAAACTTGCCCTGTTTTTATGCTCCCAAGATGCTCAAGCTCCTTGTTGTAATCACTGTAAATCCCATAAATCTTCCCCTCTTTAACTTACCTCCCACTTTTCCAAGCACTATATTGTTTTTATTTTCTCTTTTCTTCACCCCAAGGATTGTCACATCCTCACAACATGTCCAAATAATCTTTCAAGAAAAATTTTCCATCTTAGCTTCTAAAGAATACCTTGGTTGTATTTCCCTTCAGAAAGATTTGTTCTTGTAAATATGTGATCTACTCAATACAACACCATGATTCAAAGGTGTCAGTTCTTCTTTAGTCTTCCTTATTCGTTGTCTAACTTTTGCATGCAAAGAAACAACTGAAAATACCACAGAATGAGGCAGGTTTCATTTTGACACCTTTATTTTCATGAATATTTTCTTATTTTTCATATTGATTTGCATACAAAATTTGTATGCCTTGTGTTCCATTGATATACATTCATTTTTAAAGCATTCTAATTTTAATAAAGTTTTATTTGAATTGTAATTTTAATGAACACTTACAGAGAAGTTAAATTTTCATCCACTCACTGTTGCATATTTTACTCCCTCCCCCATTTCACTTTCTTTTCAATATTCATTTGTTTTTACACAATTACCTACCTCCCCTAGACCCAGTCCTTTTTGCAGTTATATTCCTATTATTCTAAGCTGTTGTTGCACATATAATGTCTAATCATATATTCACTTTAGACTTCTTTCATCTGTTACTTTAGAAAAAAAATAACTAAAAAAGATAATTGTTACCAAGTTGATTCCACCAATTGCAATCATAGGTGTGTCAAGTTTAAATGCACCATAAGATTTTAAAAAAACCATTCAGAAACAGATCACTAGACCTATCTTTCTGAGAAACCTCTGCATGAGTTTTACCTGCCAACGTTTAGGCTCATAGTTGATTAGCACCACTCAGGTACACTCTTAGAATAATAATAGTCTTGGAACATTCATCTGATCCAAGTAATTAACTGTTTCTTCCTGATGTAAAGAATGTGGCATCTTCATTTGTCATATAAATTTTGCGAAAGCCAAGGAACAGAACAAGCAGGTAGAATGGTGTTCATTGGTGTTGTACACACATAAAGAGGGACCTCTAAGCATTCACAGGTGACTTACACTGGCATAAGTCTTTTCCCTAAAGCAGGACTAATAGATACAATGTTGGTTTTAAGATCATTGAGTTAGAACAGACTCATAGTTATGCCTCTAGTGAGAAGAACCACAATTGAGCAAAAAACAAACGAGCTTTTCCAGATATCCTTAATTTTTGATGTGCTCATACTGTTAAAGAAACTGCCTTTCAATTGATTGGCTGTTGTCAGCAGATCTCATCGTCGTAGGGCACTGGATAGTAGTTACATTTTTTACTGTTAAACCATAGACTCCAAGGTGACATATAACCTTGACCTTCAAAAATGTTGAGAGATATATCATGGTTAAAAAGAAATGGATTCAATTTAGTAAACTGCTAGTTCTTACGACATTAGTGAAAAAGATAGTTAAGGATCCATGATTCAAGTACTCAATGCCTCACTGACATAGGCATTTACCGAATAATTATGAATGGTGGGATGAACACTGGCACCAATGACAGTGGTGATGATGATGGTAATTAATCTTTATGTCTTAGCAATTCATGCCTATTTTCCTTCTAGAAATATCCTTTCTTGGAAAAGTCAGTTTTAACACAGTATATTTTCCCACCTGTCCATACTGCTAGAATTAACCAAGACATCCCAGAAGATAGCATTTGGCTTTGAATGTATAAAGAAATTTACAATTTCTCACTTTTGTCACTAACTTACATTTCATTAAATTTTTTTAAGTGTGCTGAAAGTGGATTCATTTTCATAGTTTAAAAAGAAATGTTTGAGATTTTATTTTGATCTCATTTTCAGTTGCTTTATGAAAAATGCTTGGGTAGGTTAATGGAAGTTAATACCTTTGCTTTCTTGAACCTAAGCATGTTCAGTGATGATTTCCTTCTAACCATCAACACAATTTTTAGTCTCTCTATAGAATGTTTTGACACTTAATATTATGCAATGTTCTAAGCTCACATTCCTCCAATCTCCCACCCCAGTAAATAAATAAATGATTAAGTGATAAGTCTCTCTCTTTCCCTCCCTCCCCTCTCCCCTCCTCCCCTGGAGTCAGAATCAACTCATAGCTGAACATCCATTGGGTTTTCTAGGCTGGAAATTTCTTGGAAGGGGACTGTCATCTTCCTCCTTGGGAGTTTTAGCTGGATGAAGACTGCCAGAGAAGCATGGCCTTTGATTTAGCAGGGCAGTTTGTTACAGACTACACTACAAGAGCTCCCTCTAAATAATACACTTAACTGTTTAAAAATTTAAAAAAGAACTGAAAGATTTAAAAAGGAAATTAAAAAAATAATGCCACTTCTGTGAGTTGCTTTGAGTGTCTTATCTCGAGTAAACATATAAATTAATTCCATCTAATGATATTTGTATTTACAGTTAGTTATGGTTCTTTAATTGGTCAAAAAGCCTATCATTCACTAAAGGTTTTCTTGTGTTTCATTGTTGTTGTTGTGTCCTATCAAGTCAGAACTAACCCATAGCTGACCCTCCAGTGGGTTTTCAGAGACAGTTAATTGCACAGAAGGAGACTGCCCATGTGTCTCCTGCAGAGAAGCAGGTGTATTTGAACCACATGGCTTAGGGATTGCAGCACAGCTTCTTACCAATAGGCCACAAAAATATATGTTTGTAATTAGTTATGGTTCTTTAATTAGTCTAAAGGTCTATTTAAACTATTAAACTATTTAAAGCTTTCAGTCTAGAGATAAAGGTGAGGCGGATTCAGGCCATGGTCTTCACAATTACTTGCTATGCATAAGAGAGCTGAAAATGAATAAGGATGACAGAAGAATAATTTATGCCCTTAAGTTGTAGTGTTGGAGAAGAGTATAGAACATACCATGGTTTGCCAAGGGAACAAACAGGTCTGTCCTAGAGAGGGTGAAATCACGTTGCTTTCTGGAGGTAAAGATTTTGAAGCTTCATCTCATACACTTTGAGCATGATGTTGCAAGGAGTGACCAATCCTTGGAGAAGGACATCATGTTTGGAAGGATGGAAGGACAATGCAGCAGAGGTAGACCCTGGATGAGACGGATTGACACAGTGTCTGGGATGATAGGGGCAGGTGTCCCTGAGGCAGTGAGATTAGCTCAGGATAGAACAGTGTTCAGAGCTATTGTACATACGGTCACTATGAGTCATAGGCAACTTCATGGCACATAACTATAAAACAATGCATAGTTGTTGATTTTGCTCGATAACATTAAGTCAAGTAAGACTCATAAGGACCCTATCAACAAAAGATCTGAATCCTGTTGCATATTGTGAAATCCTCACAATCTCTGACACATTTGAGTCCAATGTGGCAATAACTGTGTCAATGTACTTCGTTGGAGATCTTCCTTTTTCTGATCTACTTTTCCAAGCATGATATCCCTTTCCAAGGAATAACTTCCCAGAAACATGTCCCAAATATGGGAGCCAATGTCTCACCATCCTTTCCTCTGAGGAGCATTATGGCTGCACTCTTTCCGAGATATACATGTTCATTTTGGGGGGGTAATCCATAGGATAGTCAGTGATCTTATCCTACACTACAATATAAAGACATTAGTTCTTCTGCCATCCTTATGAATTGGCTAGTTCCCAGAGATATAGCAAGTCATTGAAAAAATTATGTCCTGAATCAGGTGCATGCACCTTAGTCTTTGAATTGACATCATTGTTCTTTAATATTTTGAAGAGGTTGTTAACAACAATCTTGCCCAAAGTAATGTTACATAGTTTTAAATGTTAAAAAGTTGCAATTGAAAATTGTTTTGCAATTCTCAAAAATTAAATAAGCCTCTAAGCCTTTTAAGTTTCTATTTTGACATCCTAACCATTCTTTGGAGAGAGAGAGATTGTGCTTGCAAAGGTGGAGGAACAGGAAGGATAGAAATACCAGCAACCTGGTAGATTTACGTAATGACTGCAGTAATGGGTTTGAGTGTGTGAGAAATTGTGATGACTGCACAGAATAAGACAGGATTCATCTGTTGTTCATAGGATCATTATGAGTCATACTCGAACTGACAGAACCTGACAACAACAACCATGAAATGAAAACAAAAATAATATGCTGATATGCTTTATGACTAATGTTCACAGTGCTCACCAATTTTTTTAATGAATCAATATAATTATCATGTTAAATTTCTGTGTCAATGACCGAGCTAATAGAAGTGGATACAAAGCTTTATCAAATAGATTTTTAAGATACAGTGCCACTTATGTGGAAAGCTATAATAAGACTACTATAATTCTTGAATTATTATCATTAAATTATTCTTAGTAGTCTTATTTACTTGTGGCATAAATACCAGAAGAAAATAGAATCAGGCAGATTATAGACTTGACCTTGGGTTCAGTTAAAATAGTAGTACTAGAGCCTTTTGTCTTATTTTCCAGGTGCATACGTGCTCCAAGTCAAGGCCACTGATGCAGATGACCCCACCTATGGGAACAGTGCCAGAGTCGTTTACAGTATTCTTCAGGGACAACCTTATTTCTCTATTGATCCTAAGACAGGTAAATTTTTTATTAGAGACAACATTATCACCACCCCTTCAAATATTTAAACGTTAATTAAATCTTGGCATAGAAATGCTCATATTCTAATCAAGCAATAAAGATTCAGTGCTCCATCCATTTAGCAAAGAAAGAATCTTACCTTACAAAACTATCTTCATTTGTCCTTTATGTAAAGAGAAAGTGTTTCCATGTGTACTTGTAAAGTCCACATTTATTGGACAAGAATTTTTCCTGTGTCTTCCTTTAAATTTCCAAAACGTTATATATATATATATATATATATATATATAGTCTTATTTTTCTAGCTAAGATATATCTTTTATTTCCAATTTTCATTGTTGGTTTCAATTATATTTGCTTATAGGTTCTATGGCCGCTGATAAGATCAAAAAGCTTCTTTTTCTATATCAAGGCTTACAGGTGGCTACTTAGGGGTAATGTGGTGATGGAGAAAAAGGATAGTCCAAGCAATCTTGAACTCCTGACAACACTGTTAGAGCTGAGCTATGTATTTTCAAACTTCTCTATTTCTACATTAAAATATAATAATGAGTACTTTCTTTTCATTCAAATATAATGTGAAAGACAATGTCCTAGTGGTAAGGATCTGCACTGCCAACCCAAAGACATGTGGTTCGAATCCACCAGCTGCTCCACTGGAGAAATATGAGTCATCTTCTACCAAGTGACTTAACATATATGAAAATGGCTGGAGGATCAGCTTAGCTTTGATTCTAATTGAACAGTACTCAGCTCAACAAGTGAAGGGCAAGGAAAGGAAGGTCGGATAGAGATGCAAGCACAGGAGCAATCGTAATGATGCTGCAAGACTAGACTTGTACAGAGTCACTATCAGTCAGAACCAACTTGATGACATCTAACAATGGCAACAGTTTAGGAGAGTTTATGAAATATATGTTATTTAGGAATTTTTTTGAAATATTTCCTACTCTTTATAATAGTTGTTCCTATTTTAAGGAAATACAGGCCTTTTTGTAGTGACTGGTCTGGCAGTCTGTTGTAAGATGCTGGGCTTGTATGTTATGTTACTAAAAGTCATACCACAGTTGTTTCAAATATCTACAGGATCACCTATGATGGGCATAGTTTCAGTGGAGCTTCCAGACATGGAAGAAAAACATGGGATTTTACTTCTGAAAATTAGTCAGTATAAATCTTGCTGAACAAAATCACATTTTCTGACTTGTTTGTTTTGTATCTATCATCAGGAATAGTTAATTGTTTGCAAAAGATGTCATGTTTAGTGAAACAGTGTCAGGGTGACTGCAGTGTCAGCCTAAAGTTAGCTTTTTTTAGCTATTACATTAGCCCCGTCTGGTCTGGAAGTACCTTCATTTGTGGACTAAGGGTCTTTCAAATCAGCAGGGTCTCACAAATTACAAACAGCTGGAGGATCAGTATAAAGAGAAGACTCTCCACACCAGGGTGTCTGTGTGAAAACACCAACACGTATTCGGCAACATGACAGCATTTAAGCTTCCTGCTGTATCCAGCCTGGTCCATTGCTCACCAGTTTCTGAAAAGAAAAAAAACCAAACCCATCCTGCATACCTGCATACCTATGGTTATATGAGACATTTACCAAATGGTTCTGAGTCTCTGGGGGACCTTAAATCATTGAACCCACATAGAGGTATTGGGGAACTGAACAAGACATAGAGCTGGTTATAGTTGGTTAAGTATTTGGTATTACACTGATCTGGGACTTTTTATTAATGTTGTAGTTCGGTGCTGTCAAGTCAAGTACATCCCATAGCAACCCTATGAACAACAGTTCTGAACCTTGTTCTATCCTGTGTCATTCTCACACCTCCTGACACACTAGAGCCCATGCAGTCACTATATCAATTCCTCTGGTTGAGGATCTTTCTATCCTTCACTGACCCTCTGCCTTTCCAAGCATCAAGTCTCTTTCCAAAGGAGAGCCCCTCATAGCAACAAACCCAGAGTATGTGAGGTGAAGCCTCATTATTTTTGCACCCAAAGAACACTCTAGCTTCATTTTAACCAACACGTATGTGTTTGTTCTTTTAACAGTCCTTGAGCTATTCATTATTCTCCAATACCACAGCTCAAAGGCATCAATTCTTCTTCTGTCATACTTTTTCATTGTCCAGCTCTCAGGTGCAAGTGATCAGAAAGGCCTGAAGCAGACACACTTTATTCCTCAAACTGACATAATTACTTCTTAATTATTTGGATAAGTCCATAACTGCGGAGTTCCCCAGTGCATTACATCTTCAGATTTCCTGATTGGTGGTACCAATTGGTGGATCCAAGTAAGATGAAATTGTTGATAGATTCAATCTTTTCTCTGTCCATCTAATGCTATCTACTGTAAGTAGTAAGTATTTTTGATTTCTTGAAGTTGAGATGCTATTCAACTGAAGGTATTCTTTGATCTTATACAACAAGTGATCAAGTACTCCTCACTTTCAGCAAAGATTAAAAGTCTAATTAATAGTGTCCTATTAATCTTAGCACTAATAAAGGAAGCAATATTCACTGACAAAGATTGAAACAATCATGAAAGGAGTGGAAGACTGGGCAACATTTTGTATTGTTGAATTTATGGTTAATGAGTTAAAGTCAATAAAATGAGAGTTATCCATTTATTTCTCTGCTTTTCTGACCAATGGTCAAAGTAGAATTTACTTGTCAACGAAAATCGAAAACAACAATGATTTCATCAACTCCTTTATGTTGTTGCTTTACTAGCTGCACTGAGTTGATTCTGACTCATAGTGACCCAGGTCTCACAGGACGAAACAGAACCTAACTTTGCATCATAATCACAATTGCTGTTGACCTTGAGTGTTGTAACCACCACATCATTCTATTAAGAAGCTTCATCTTTATTGCTCATCTACCACTATGCAACACCAGATGTCATTCTCCAGGAACTGGTACCTTGCTGATATCATGTCTCAAAAATGAGAGACAGAGTCTCACAAGACGGATTTAAGATATTAAAAATATCTCACAAACACTATAATTTAAAGACATTGATTCTTAAGTCTTCCTTATTTGTTGTCCAGATTTTCCATACAGAAAGGGCAATTGAAAATATTGAAATCTGAGTCACATTCACCTTAGTCTTCAAAGTAATAAGCTTTTTTTTTTAACTTTTCAAAGTGATTATTTGAATCAAAGAGGCCTATACCAGTCCATTTCCAGTCATGAATGCCTAGAATGTTAATCTTCAAAGTTCCATTTCATATTTGACAACTTCTAGTATTTCTACTTTTATGGTTTGTGCATCCCATAGTACAGTTATTAATGGTTGTTTGCAGCTGTTTCTCCTCACATTTGAGTGTCTTTCCTTCTTAGCTCTACCTCTACTTTCTGAAATATTTCAGCTTTATTATTAGAGGTAAAATCTAGATTGGAAGTCAATCAAAATGAGGTGAAACAGTTGCAAATATCCTTTAATAATTAAAACATGGAATGTACATAGCACTAATGTCAGAAAATGATAATTTACTGAAAAGTAAAATGAATTATATGAGTATGGACCTTCTAAGTATTTGTAAGATGAGATGGACTGCGAACTCACAGTGGCCACTTTGAATGAGGCAAATATTCTTAACACTACGCCACCAGAATGAGTGTGTGTGTGTGTGTGTGTGTGTGGAGAGAGTTGGACAATGACTAGGGATGATGAAAGGAGTATTAATGCATTATGTGTACCATCAAGTCAGATCCCACTGGCACAGGAGGAGATTGATTGCCCTCCTTCTCCAGCAGAGCATCTGGTGGACTCAAACTGCACCTTTGAGATTTCCACACAGCTTCTTGCCACGAGGCCACCAGAGCTTGGAGTGTGTGTGTTGTGTATGCTTAAGTATCTATCTATATATGTGTATGTATAATATATAATGTAAAACATATAACTTGTCTGACACACTTAGGTTTTAAACTCATGACCATTGAGGTGATTCTGACTCCTATATACCCATCATCAGATTTTTGAAGCAGACAATATGTTTTCAAGGGAGAAGATTGCCTTTTTTTTCTTCCTTTCTTATGGACTGTCCAATGAATTTGAACTGGAGACCCTTCTGTCACTGTTCTATCGGGCATAATGTTATTGTTGTTGTGTACCATTGACTTGGAACTTATCCATAGCTGACTTTTTGGTGGGTTATCAGAGGCAGTAATTTTCCATCCTTCTTCCATGGAGAAGTTGGTGCCTTGAAACTACGTGCCTGTGGGATTGCAGGGCAGCTTCTTACCACTAGGACATCAGAGCCCCTCAACTAATAGTCTCTAATAGAAAATTTGTTTATGAGAACACTATGCGTAGATTTCTTACTGGAGCATTCTTTTTGACTAGAGTGATTATAGAATAAGTGATGGTATATACACAGAAGGAGTGGCAGGGCAAAGATTAAAGATTTAATATTGCTTAAAAAAACATAAATTGAGCCAGCATCTAAAGTCATCACAAAAAATCACGTGATCCAAAAATTCATTTAAGCAGAAAGTCTAAGTTAAGAATATAATTACTAAAAACAAATTAATACACTGACAGGCAACAATTATGAGTCAAAACACATGGTCTCCCCGTGACTTAATTTGATCATTATGAACTTTAGCTAAATCATAATACTTTTAGTAAATGTTCTTTTATCTCAGAGCCTATATGAAGGTAATACAACTTTTATCACTTTGTATTTTAATGCTTTATATAAGGCTCATTATTTAGAACTGAGGGGGAAACAGTTCTAGCATAAACTATATAATAGATTTTTTGAAGCATTGATTTTCACTGGAGACAGAAGTCTTGATGCTAACAACGCCTCAGACCACTGGGCAGGAAAAGAGTGGATTCGGAGGCCCTTCATTAATAGGATGGTAACCAGTTCTTCATGCACAGAAACTATTAAGAGGACTTCTTGTTAAATTTATCACCTTGTGGTAGAGGAGAATAAATAAAAAATAAAGGATAATTGCAATTTCTCAGAAATAGTCTC